AGCATACCTTCACTCATTCACTCAATAAATATCCACTTAGGATGGATATAATAAATATCCACTTAGGATGGATAAATATCCACTTAGCACTTAGGATGAGCCAGGTGCTGTGCAGGCACTACCACTAAAAATATGAATATGATAGGATCCTTGCACTTGAGGAGCTCATAGTCCAGCCAGGGAGGCAGACAACAAACCTTTAGTAACATCTGTGGGTGCTGAGGGGGTTAAACAGAAAGGAGGTTCAGAAGAACTAACTGACGAGATTACCTTGACCTGCATAGAGAATGATGAGAGGACATTTGCTTATATGATTGCTTAACTGAAAATCAAACGTCTTTATATGTGTGTGAGAGAGGGAGGGAGGGGGAGAGAGAGAGAGAGAGAGAGAAGGAGGGGGAGGAGAAGGAGAGGGAGGGAGGGGGAGCAGAAGAGGAAGAAGAAGGGGGAGGGCAGTTGATAAGCAGGGAAATTGCAGGCCATTCAGGAGTTTGCTAGCCTTTGCTTCAGCAACTTAGTGCTTTTCCTCAACTGGATGAGGCAGGTAATGGGTCTGGGTCCTCCAAGGATGTTATGCACTGAATGTGGCCCCCCAAAATTCATATGTTGAAGCCCCAACCCCCAATGTGATGGCATTAGGAGATGGGGCCTTTGGGAGATTATATGGGTTAGATGAGGTCATGAGGGTGGGGTCCTCATGAGAAGATTAGTGCCCTTATGAGAGGAGACAATAAAGAGCTTGTGTGTACCACTCTCCCTCCCCTGCTCACACCAAGAGGGAGTCATGTGAGCACACATCGAGAAGGTGGCCATCTACAACCCAAAGGGAGAGGTCTCTCCGAAAGCAACCAGGCTGGCACCTTGATGTTGAACTTTCAGTCTCCAGAACTGGGAGAAAGTAAACTTCTGTCATTAAAGCCACCCAGTCTGTGATATTTGGTTCTGGCAGCTCAAGCTGAATGCTACAGGGATAAGTGCCATTCTTGGGTGCATCAAAAAGAGTAGACCCTCGGGTGATCAGGACTGTCTAGAGCCATGCATCATAGAGGGCCTCCCCAGTGAGGAGTGTGGAAAGTGTGCAAAGGATTCAGCCAAGAGCCACTGAGAGTTGACAAGTAAGAACTATGCTGAGTCTGGAGGGACTAGGGTTATTTGATAGAAAATAGTTTCCATTGGCTCCCCATTTTCTATAGGATGAGATCTCAACATGTGAGGCCCTTTACAGTCTGGCCCAACTCCATCTCCAGCTTGACAACCAATCCTCTTACACATAATTGATAGGCTCCAGCTATACTTAGTCATTCACGGGTTCCCCAAATATCTTGCGTTAATCCAGAGGTACATGGTAAAATGGTTAAAAGCCAGCCTGCCTGCCCTCAAATCCAAGCTCCCACTTACCAGTGTGATTCTTAGCCAAGTCATTTATCCTGTGCCTCAGTTCTTCCCTTTATAAAATGGGGATAATAATAGTACTAACCAAATAGAGTGGCCATGCACAAAAATTACATTAATGTCTGGAAAGTGTTCCAAAGAGTACTTTGTATTCAGTAAGTGCTGGATAAGTATTTCATCTTATGAAATTTTATTTCTACTCAAATATCACTTAGAATGTCATCTGTTCTAGGCGATGTTGTCACTTCCTCCTGTGGGATCTGATAGCTCTTTAACCTGACTAATTAGCACAGTATGTGAGGTATTTGTCTCTCTCTGCACGACTTATCTTCCCCTGGCCTGGTCCAGTGTGTGTCACCGAGCAGGCAATCCACAAACACACATTGAATAAATGAACATGTGCAAGGGTGAGAAAGGAAGGAAGGATGCATGTAGCCATGCCTGCAGGAGTGAACGTGACCTAAGAGTGTCAAAGCCAGGAAGAGATTGCACCTGGAGCACCATGTCCCACCAGTTTTCAACTCCTCCAAAGGAGGAGGGATTTAGATACATTACAGGTAAGAACTTGCTGAAATGTTTAGACACTGGGAACAGTGTGCCCGGACCTGCAATAATCTGTCCTTTAGAAAGAAGCTAGGTTTCCCTCTGTCTGATATCACTGAGGCATTTTTTCCAGACCCATTAGGATACATTGGTTTCAATGGCAAAGGTGGAGCAGATCCACGGCATGTAATCCTTAACAACAGAGAGCAAATGGATCACCAGCGGGTGTTTAAAGGTTCCCAGGACTTTTTAGCATTCAGTACACGGCCAGACAGATAAATACAAAGGTGATAAACAGGTTCCAGGAGCCCAGTATCAGATACCTGCTTGTTCTGCAGGTCTGCCCAGGCATCCCAGCCAGTCAGCCGGTGCTCAGCGGCAGTGACGCCTATCAAAACCGTCCTCCCCAGGCCCACAGGCTGTCTGTCTGGCCAGAAAGCTCCACCGTCTCTCCTCCCCCAAAGCAAATGCAAAACCCATGCTTTTCCACTGAGGCTGCCCTTTCCTGACTACCTTGATGCTGCAGTTCTAGTCACACTGTTGGGGTCACCGGGGACAAGGAATCAGCTCCCACCCCAACTAACATTCAGGCAGAGACCCTGGCGATAAATATTTTAATATAAAGTTTACTGTTTGCCCACATGAATGGAAAGAACTTGCATCTGCCAGTGCCACCTGTGCCCATAGAACTGCAGTCCAAACAGCTGTATCCCAGGAGAGCCCAGCTGTGTGGAGGGAGGAGAGGGCGGGCTGGAGGGAGGGGCGGAGGGAGGCGGGTGGTGGGTGGAGGAGAAGGAATTAGGAGGAGGAGGCCCAGACCCAGAGGAAGGAGGGAGGGAGAGGCAGGGAGATCTGCTGGTGACCAAGAAATACTGAGATTAGCAGGCAAGCCTCCTAGAAGACAGGCTGTATGTCCCCTGGGCTGGGCTGAATCTCATCCTGTCAGGATGGAGGGGGGAACAGTGTGTATCTGACTCAAGTGTGTAGAGCAGGTTTCAGAGGAGTGGGCGTCTCCTTCAAGCTGGTGCAGCTATTTGTGGCCATGCAGCCATATGGAACCCCTGGAGGACAGCAAATGCTCTCACCTCCTGCCAGGCACTGGCCGCCCCAGTCCCCATGGTTTGGCACCAGGGCCTGAACCCCAAGCATGTCTTCTCCAGTAAGGAAGGAGGGAGGCTAACCCTGGAACCCAACTGGGAGCTGACAAGGGGAAAAGGGTCATTCACATGCTTAGTTCAGGTGGTTTTGGAAGGGTCCAGCGGGGGCTGCCCTTCCTGGAAAGGTAGCCATCACTTCTTCCATTAAGCTTGTGAAAGCCAGCCATGGCCTTTGCCTGGTGGGTGAGAGTGGGGCCAGCTGCTCCCAGTGGGGTATCAGCCAGAGAGGGGCCAGGCTCCTTCTGACACCTGAGTCACACAGGCTCACGTCTTCCTGGCACCTGCCTGTTGCATAAGCAGGTCGATGGCCGATGGCCGGGCCAGATAAGCCTCTCCCCCGGAAGAGGAATGCTTCTAACACGCCCTTGGTTTTGTGTTTACTCTGTCCCCTCTCTGTTCCCTTTCTCCTTTCTCCCTTCCTGGGGTTACACCTTAGAGATTAGGGTTGGTCTCTGACAGAATGTGGCTTTAGTAGATATTTGATTTCTACCAGCCCCTTTTCTGGTCATATTTATAGGCTCTGTGGAACTCCCAGCTCCCTTCCTTGGAGAGATTGGCAAGTGTCTGGGGAAGCGGGGGCCAGCTACTGTGATGAGAATGAGGCTCTTGCTTTCAGATGGGGGAAGGGGAGCAGTGGAGAATAACATGTCACCCGGGAAGTATGCCACGTCCATTCTTCCCCTCTCTCTCTCCCCCTCCCTTGCCCTTTTCCTCCCCGTCTCAGCCTCTCTCTTATGCTCCTGTCCCCCTTGCTCTGCGAGTGACCGTCCATCCATCTCCCACTCCTAACACTGCCTGTGTCCATCCCAGCACTGCAACAGGCATCCGCTCCCTGGAATTTATAAAAGCCTCATAATATGAACTGGACTTCTGAGGGTCCATAGGTAGGAATAGATTTTGTTTTTTAACTTTTTATTATAGAAAATTTTTTAAATTCATAAAAACAAAGAGAGTTGTCAAAATAAAGGGCCCTATGTACCAATCACTCAGCTATAAAAACCACCAACTCTCCACCTCTCTTGTTCCATCCGTAACCCTCACTCCCCAAACATCCCCACACCCACATGGGATTTTTTTTTTTTAAGAAATTCCAATCAGTCATGTTATTTGATCCATAAATCTTCATGGGAGCAGTCGGACTAAAGCACTCACCCCCCAGACCGTCTTAAGCCCCAGAAAGCAGCTCAGGCCTTGGCCCACGCCTGCCTTTGGGGATGGAAATTCTGTGACCACCCTCAGTGTTTCAGCACGTGTATCTCATCCTCTTGACCCAACGGTCCTCCTCAGAAAACCGCTGTTAGAAGCAAATCAGTGCCCCAGCTCATGGACAGTTTTGTCTAAGGCCTTAGGCAATTTCTTGTTTTTGTTCCCAGAAGAAATCATTTTATAAGCAAGTCGCCTATCAGAAAACACACCTGCACGCCAGATTGGCACAGCTGTATGGGAGCAACTGCCGATCCATCTGCGGAACTATCTAAACAAGGAAGACGTGTGATCTGATCATCAAATGACTCTTGGTAAATGACAGCAACACATGCAATATTCAAAAGCAACAGATAAAAGAAACTTGGGCTCTCTCCACAGAGAAAAACCCCTCAAATAATGCTCTCCCTACACCCCACCCCCAATTTGATGAAATCTATTCATTGAGCAAGAAAACCAACTTGGTTCTGAAGATGGTCACTGGGAGGCCTGAATTCGGGCCCCTCATCTGATTGCCAACAATGTCCCTTGGCCCACAATGGGTGACCTTCCTTTATGCAACTTTTAAATAATTCATGGAACCAACTATCAAAAGTTTATGGTTTAAAATCTGGACCTAGACATTTAGACAGAATTACATCTATGTTTACGCCATGGTAGAAAGTGTATCATTTAAACTCAAGAGGTCTGGGTAGGTCCACTCACCTGTATGATCCTGAAGCAATTACTTTACCACCTGGGGTTCTGCTTTCTCATTTGTGAAAAGGAGTAAATCATCATCGTTCAGTCTCCCTCACTGGTAAGTAGGTGCAGAGTCAGGAGATGAAATTCTAGAATGATATCATGAAAAGAATAGGAAATAAATTAATATTTGAATGTATTATGTTTATAAGAAACTCATATTGAGGATTGAAAATGTATAGTTCTTTTGGTTGAAGTTAGAAATATATATATATATGAATATATGTATGATTTCAACTTTCTGAAAAATACAAGTGATGATAGATGTAAAGTTCTTAGACAAATAAAATGATCAGACTCTGAATGGTAAGTGTTATTAAAAACTAAACATAGTCAAGCACAGCGGCCACTTAGCCCATGATCAGCGGTCCTTTAAGAATGTTCACAACATCGAATAATTAACGAGTAACCCTGAGTTTCCATGCATTCGGGTCTCCCAGGATGATGCAACTACAGGGCAGGGAATGAGGTTACATGGTCTCCCCAGGAAGGCACCATCTCTACTCCCATCTTAGCCCCTCCTAAACAAATGTCAACACTTCAGCTTGGCTCAGCAACCATGATTTACATGAAGCTGGGACAAGCACATTCTGCACAAACTCTGAAGGAGAATAGAAATCCCCACCTTTTCCCCAGCAAGGATGGCAGCTATGACCCCATCTGACCTCCACCTGTGGGGTGCAATAGGCATCCTTTGTGTGGGATGGCAGAGTCCCTGGGAACCACATGAATTACTCAGAAGTGGACCTGGCCTTTGTGAGGAAGGTGGAAGGGAAGGACTTTGGGTTGGAATTCAGGAGAGTCTGGGCTGTTTCTGGCTTATCCTGGGTAACCCTGGGTCACTCAACTCTTCTGGGATGGCTCCACTTGTCCATATATTCAGGATAATCCTATCACCTTCCTTCACCCTCATAGTGTTGACAGGAATCTAAAATGTGTGTGAATAACATTTAAAAAAAGTATCAGTCCTCAAAGGAATAATATAATTGCATAGAAAATTCACATATGTAAAGTCTCATTCCTGACAAACGGGTGTTTGCCAGAGGGGAAGGGGGATAGGGGATTGAGTGAAATAGGTGAAGGGGATTAAGAGGTTCAAACTTCCAGTTATAAAATAAATAAGTTACCAGGACGTAATGTATAGCACAGGGAATATAGTCAATGAAAAAATAAGTTAAAAAATAAAATGTGTGTGAAGATGCCAACAAATAAATGAATAAGGTCCTCAGGGAGTTGAAGTTCTAGGGCTGTAATACGTTCAGTACTACATTGGGTGACTTTTATCTTACGATTCCTGGTAGACTTTAAATTCACTTGCAGGTTCAAATCCCATCAACTCTCAACATTCTTTTGTGCTCAGATTCCTATTCCTTTACCCCCAGATTTCCATCCTTTTTGGCCTTTCCTTAGAGAGCAGGCACCCTTCCCTCCCCACCCACCCCACAAACCTTGCCCCATCCACTCTTCTGGGGCCAGCAAATAACATTTCCTTCTCATTTCCCATCCCTCGTGTAATCTGCCAGCTTTTTGTGATAGCAGGAGAATTCTGGGAGTTTCATCTTCTCGCATTTCCTTGAGTGGCATGTGCACTGGACCGTGCTAAAGCTTTGGTGGCAGCTGGGGATCAATAATCAGTGCTCTCACCCAAGTGACTCTCTTGGAGAGAGTTGCCTGGGAAGCATTTGAAGCTGGACCCAGTAACAAATCTGCCCAACTTTCCAGGGTCTCTGAGGATACCCTGCCCAGTTCCCCTTAAACCAATTTCCCAGTCCAGCAGAAAAACCGGACAGGATTGTATTGAATCTCTTGCCCTCCACTGCCCCTCACTGCATTCCCAAATCACATCTGGCTTCTAGCACTTTCTTCCAACCAGCATTTAATCCTCAGCGGTGATCCATTTAAGAAATTTAATTTCATTCTCCACCCTTCTCTCCCCACCCAACTTTGCCCATAAAAAACTCTTCAGGGAATTTTCAAATTCTGACATCATATGAATTCTTCTTTGTTCTGCAAAGTACTCCTCAATGCCTAACCCATCTCCCAGCACCACTCACAGAGATGCACTGCATGTTCCCAGAGTTTGTAGATCTCTCATTTGCTGGCTGCTTCTTACAACAGCCTGGAAGTTCAGCCTTTTAAAAATCAATCTGACTCTCTGCTTTCCTCACCCCCACCTCACAGTTTGCACAGAATGGTGGTCTGTGCACAGAAGTCTCCTGAAGGTATTATTAGTTCTTGTTTTTGGAACCACCCCCAGGGCTGCAGAAAAGCACCAGCTAAATGCCCTCACACAAGGCCCTCATGGGACTATTTACAGCCGTCCACACGCCCAACTCCACCCTTTCCACAAGGAGCATTTCTGGAAATTTCTGGAAATTTGGCTGGTCAGCTCGAAATCCCAAGTGCCATCAGAAAACCTTAACTAGAACCTGTGAGTCTACAATGATCAGGAGAAATAATGTTAATGGTAATAACTAAAGTCACAATTAAAATTTGTATTTAAAATAAAGATCACTATTTTTGTTTTTGAAGATCACCCCGTACCAGGCTCAGTGCTAAGTACTTTATCTGCATTATAATCATCAGAAAACCTTCAGCAGTAGGTACTATTATTATCCCCATTTTTCAGATGAAGTTGAGGCACGAGGCAGTGAGCAACTTTCTCGAGATCACACAACCAGAAATTAATGGATTTGGGGTTAGGCTTAGGCTGTCCGACTCCAAAGCCCACGCACGTGTCAGTGGACACTGCACTGCTTTCCTGAGACCAATATGAAGTAGCTAAAGCAAAGGAGAGTCTTTATTATAAGCACCCTGGGGTGGCCGGTGGAACCCAAGAACAGGAATTGGGCCGCGGGAGCAATTGGTGTCAAGGACTTAAAGGCTGTCAGTGTGCTCTGGGAGCACGTGCGTCATTCCCAACTCTCTCCTAGCAGCGACTCTCTGCTTGCTCCCCCGGGTCCTGTGCCAGGAAGTGTGGATACCATCACACATTAGAACTTCAGACTGATCGTGCTTGCTCTTCCCAGATTTGAAAATGCCTTGGGGAGGGAATGATCGGCAGGGGGGAGAGTCACAGGAAACCATGGCAGCTCCCTCAGTAGCCACATGGGTAGGATGGAGGGCAAGAGAAAGAGCAGCTCCCAGGAGGAAGCTAGTCACTTCCACAAGGAAAAGGATGCTGGGAAGATCTTCAAATGGGTGTGCCTTAGAGTGACCTTGGGTAGGTTAAGTCGCCTTATGAAACCTGGATAACTCATCAGAAGGATGGGAATGACAGCATGTTCCTTCTAGAGCCATTGTGAGGACAAAATAAGAAATTGTATGTAAATGCTTGTCATGGTGTCCGGCACATGGTAAATACCCAATAAACATTAGCCATTAATATTATTAAGTCTGAGTCATTGCAAGCTCACAGTGCCTGGCTCAGTATTTTTTTTTTTTTTTTTTTGCGGTACGCGGGCCTCTCACTGCTGTGGCCTCTCCCGCTGCGGAGCACAGGCTCCGGACGCGCAGGCTCCACGGCATGTGGGATCTTCCCGGACCAGGGCACGAACCCGTGTCCCCTGCATCGGCAGGCGGACTCTCAACCACTGAGCCACCAGGGAAGCCCCTGGCTCAGTTTTATTCTTTATAAATAAACATTATTATACTAAATCCCTTGGCACAGAAGATTCTCAGAGCCAGTACTTTTTCCATTTTGGAAAAGTGGGAAAAGAGCTAAGGGAAGAGTTGTGATGTCCCCAGAAGGATCTGTTCTAGGATTACAAAGGACCTGGCAGGTGTGACAGGAAAGCTGGGTATAAGTATCTTTAAATATGTTTTCTCTGAGTCTACACCCTCGTGTATTTCATGGCAGACCAGAGATTTGAGTGCCCTGAAATTGGATGTGAGTTTTGCATTTCTGCCTGCCCTTCCTCATTGCCAATGTTCTGGTCTCCTTGGTCTGTCACTCAGCCTCCCTGAGGCTGGCGAAGTGGATGAGACCACAGGGATCTGGGAGTCCTTGGCTATGGAGGAAAGAAAATGGATTCCTTGCTACCTCTGCCTTAGTCCGCAAAGCCATTTACGGTTTGGGAAACTTCCAGTGCTGTCAAGATCTCTCATGCCTGCTTCCCACCCCCTCCTTGGACTCAGTGAGTCCAGCATTAGAGAATATTTCTTTGGTTGGCAGGTTGGGGCTGAAGAACGGAATCAGTCACTCGGAGCCCTAAATGCCAAACGCATCAGTCTAATTTATTCAGACAAGTTTTCTTCTGTGTATTTTCTATACTATCAAACTCTGTATCCTTCAGTGAAGACATTTATCTTGGATGAATAAAATCTCTTAATGGTTTAATAAAAAACACTTAACTCAGTTTTCCTAGTTTTATGAGTGCCTTGAGGTCCTTTAGGAGAGCAGACATCTTTGCTGGGATCACTGAGGGAAACAGAATTATTTTTCTGCCTTTTGATATATTATTTTCTGGAAGGAACAGTTCCAGATGCTCATCATATGCTCGCAAATTCTCTGAAGCTCCATCAAAGGACAGGGTATTCTCCGTGATGAACTCAGTGGTGTCCCTCCTTCCTTCCACAGCCGACCTGCCAGTCCCTTCAAAGACATCCTCTCCTTCTTTATTCCTTTCTTTGCTGAAATAGCATCTGTGCCATTATCATCACCAATTTGTTCTATTCAGAATAAATGGAGAAAAGAGTCTGGAGGTCAGTTAGAACCAAGTGCCAGAAGCAAAAACCAAACAGGAAATTAGGTTAGTAGAAATTTTATGAGGACAAGAACAACTGGGGAAGGGAAGGAGGACTCCATGGAGAGAAATGGGGGAAGAGTCAGAGAGAGAGAGAGAAAACTTGGAGAGCCAGGAAGCAAGACGTGGGCAAGGGGAATGTGAGCTGCAAAGGGAGAGAGTGAAGAGGAGAGGGGAGGGGATGGATCAAATAGAGAAGTCAAGGTCAAGTGAAGAACTGGAGCACCACACCTGAGCACGGAACATAAGAATACAACACGCACCTCGAGGCAGGAATCCTAGAAGGGAAACTGGCAAGAATGGGCGTCTAGGAAGAAGAAGGTAGAGTGATGTGGGAGAGAGGG